GGGCCACCTCAGGCAGGTGGGACATGGTTTGGAGTTTGGGTGGATCAGGATTTGGGGTGAGGGGCCACCTCAGGCAGGTGGGGACGTGGTTTGGAGTTTGGGTGGATCAGGATTTGGGGTGAGGGGCCAGCCCCAGGCAGGTGGGACATGGTTTGGAGTTTGGGTGGATCAGGATTTGGGGTGAAGGGCCACCTCAGGCAGGTGGGACGTGGTTTGGAGTTTGGGTGGATCAGGATTCGTGTCTCCTGCTCTGGCTGAGCTTGTCCTGCTCTCCTCCCCTCGGGAAGGTACGAGAGCGTGATTGCCACGCTCTGTGAGAACCTGGACTCCCTGGACGAGCCCGAGGCCAGGGCTGCCATGATTTGGATCGTGGGCGAATACGCCGAGCGCATCGACAACGCTGACGAGCTGCTGGAGAGCTTCCTGGAGGGCTTCCATGATGAGAGCACCCAGGTGTGCCAGGGACCTCAGGGTGGCACTGGGACAGAGCTCCCAGGTGGATCAGTGCAGTTTGCTCTGAAGGGATTGTTTGTGCAGGTGCTTGGGGCAGGTTTGGGTTAGGATGTGGAGTAACCTGGCAGAGTGGAAGGTGTTCCTGCCCATGGCAAGAGGGGGAATGAGTTGGGATTTGAGGTCCCTTGCAGCCCAAGCTGTTCTGTGGTTCTGTGAAAGGCCACCATGGTGTTGTCCCAAGTGCCTTCCCTGCTCCATGGTTGGGAGGCACCAGGCAGGGGCCTGGTAATGCCACTGTGCCAGCACAGATCCCTGTGGAGCTGGAAAAGGAGCAGAGGGAGCAGTGCCTGCCCTGTCTCCCAGGGCAACTGAGGCCAGTGGGTTTGTCTGTGGAGTTCTGGAGGGTTTCCAACTCTGGAAAACTCTGCAAAACACCCTGTAACCAAGTGACAGTGAACAGGGCAAAGTCTACAAATGCTGAGTAGCAAAGGCAGAGATCCAGGCTCCCTGGGAGGCTGGGAGGGGAATTCCTGCTGCTTATCCATGTGGAAGTCAAAGGATGCTCTGGCCTGTGCCCTGTGGGGCCATGTAAGCTGCTGCCAAGATCCTGCCCCATGGTTTTGGGGTCAGCCTGAGTCTGAGGGTGAGGAAATGGGCTGGTGAGGTGCCCTGATGTGTCACTGCCACTGACATGGTCACTGTGCCTGTGGTCCCTTGAAAGGCAGGTTGGGGTTAGGTCCTGGGGCAAATCCGTGTGTTCCTGCACAAACAGTGTGACCTGTCTGTGTGTCTGTCCCCCACAGGTCCAGCTGCAGCTGCTGACAGCCATCGTGAAGCTGTTCCTGAAGAAGCCCACGGAGACACAGGAGTTGGTGCAGCAGGTGCTGAGCTTGGCCACACAGGTGGGTGACACCTGGGACAGCTTCCCAGGGCTTCCCATCCCCTGGGAATGTGGCAGCAGGCAGGGAATTGGAGCTTAGTTCAGAATGGTTTGGGTTGGGAGGAACATTAAGGATCCCCTTGTGCCAGCCTGCAGGGACACATTCCAGTGTCCCAGATTGCCCCATCCAGCCTGGCCTTGGGCACTGCCAGGGATCCAGGATGGGCACCCTGTGCCAGGGCCTGCCCACCCTGCCAGGGAACAATTCCTAATTCCCAATATCCCATCCANGGTGGGCTTTAGAGGGAGTTCAAGCTTTTTAGGGAGGGTAAACCCCTCATAACAATCCCAATATGTATTTCCAGCATCAGGTTGGTTCAGGATCCTGGTGTAAGTGATGAGGACATAGGATTCCTGAATGGATTGAGGAGCTGTGGGAGTGAGGATTGATGGTGTTGGAACTCAGTGGGTGCAGGACAAGAGAGAAACTTCTCTTGGGTGACTTATTCTCAAGAGCAGAACATGAAAACCTCGGGATTTGAACCCAAATCCTCCTGGAGGACCTGAAACCCCTGGAGATAGCTGAGCCCAGGATATCCTGTGGCATCCACATTCTCTGAAAAAATCCTTTCACCCAGGGTTTTTCTCCTGGAAACGTGAAAGGCAGTGAGAGAGGCCTCAGAGAAAAGTGAGAACAATTCTTATCTCATTTGCTTCTCCTGTGTTGTGCTGGTGTGGAATGTGTTTGGAGATTGCTAACCCATAAGGGATTGTTCCATTGGATTCTGCTGTGAGTTGTTTTCACTCTTTGGCCAATCAGGGCCAAGCTGTGTCAGACTCTGGAAAGAGTCAGGAGTTTTCATTATTATCTTTTTAGCATTAAGTGTCTTTTCTGTATTCTGTAGCATAGTATACTATTCTTTAATATAATATAGTATCATAAAGTAATAAATTAGTCTTCATGGAGTCAGATGCATAATTCCTTCCTTTGTCAGGGCTCCTTAATTACAATAGTAAATTATTGTAAATTATTGTAAAATTATTACAATAATATCCACCCTCCCCTGTGGGTGTGTGCTCTCTGTTAATGGAGTGACAAAAGTATCTTTTGTCTCTTTAATAGGAAAGAGGTCTAGAAATTTCTCTCTGATTAAGTGAAAAGACACCTCATAAGACTTAAGAGACTTCACCTCAAACTTATAGATAATTAGATAAAGTCTTGCTTAGACAATTAACTAGAAAAAGGAGTGAACAAAGAAACTAATAGTTTTTGTAAAGTGTTTTACTAAGAGCAAAAACGTCTGGCACTTAGCTCAGTTTTTCTGTTTGTTCTTTTGCTTTTTATTAAACTTCTTTGTTTCTAACACTGCAACAACAGGAGCCATCCTGCTGATTATTGTGCCTCCAGAAGTAGCTGAGCTATCTTGGGTTATTGGAATAATTACCAATATAGCCAGGTGGGATGTGCCTG